CGAAGAGTCTTGAGAGTGCCCTGTTCATATCTCTTGAGAAAGGCGCGAGTTTCGCCAAAACACGTCGAGTTGAGAGTTGATGGCACTCTAGAGCACTATTCACTGATGTGCACTTAGTTTGTTTTACGGTGTGGCTAGGTTGTTTGGCTATTTCAATCCAAAGTTACCTCCTTTCACGGAGGAATGTGTGTAACAAAGTGCTTAAACAAGAATAAGAGTGATTAACAAGCAGCTCTATGCACTTATGTGGAAATATCCTCTTTTCCACTAAACAATCATATAAAATACAATGCGGTATAAGTGACAAAGACCTACACCTATAAGTGAAGCGCTCAAACAAATATAAAGCTTACCAAGCATGACTTAATCCATTAGTACAATATGAAGTACATGCATTTTAAGGAGCCTGTATATAAAAAACTGGCTCCGTATTAAGGCTTGTGTGCTTTTTTTTTTGGTAGCACCACCCTTCCGCTTGGAGTAGTTCTCATAAATAAAATATAAAAGGAGAACGAACCAATGTGTAGACTGTAGCGATAAAAACACGGATGTAAAATAATAAATGTGGTGCTCACCTGGTCCTGAGCCTATGGGACCGGCTCTAAGGTGTAAATATGTGGTGCCAATTTAAATAGGGATGGCACTGCCCATATGAAGATTCACAGAGGCTCCAAAAAGGACTTGAGCAGGATATCTTGAGTAAAATAACAAACTTATTAATATACAATAATAATAAAAATGGTATCGCTTCCATGATAACATCAATTTGGTCTAATTCAAACGAATAGGATTGCTCCAGAAAGAATCTCACTGCTGCGCAGCCCTTCTGATGTGAAATGGTGGTATATAGAGAGCTCACATCTGCGGTAACCAAATAGTAGTCATGTTCCCATTTGATTGTTTGCAAGTGTCTCAAAATGCTTCCCGTTTCCTTAAGGTAACTGGGAATAGATTGAACTATGGGCTGCAGGCACTTGTCCACATATTCTGAGAGTCTGCATGATATGGAATTTATGCCCGAAACTATAGGTCTTCCAGGTGGAAGCTCTGGGCTTTTGTGGACCTTGGGAAGGTAATAGAATACGGGAATTTTTGGATGTGTCACGTTTAGGTATTCAAACTCTTTTTTATTTAAAATGCCCTTTTGTAGACCCCTATTAATGAGGTCATAGAATTTATTTTTTATTTCAAATGTTGGATCTGTTTTTAGTCTCGTATAAGTGACTTGGTCACTCAGTAATCTCATGCATTCTGTATGGTAGTCTTTGATGTCTAAAATGACTATTCCCCCTCCCTTGTCCGCCGGTTTAATTACAATATTGTTATCTTTCTGCAGGTTTTTTAAAACCTATTTTTCATATTCCTTTTTGGGGCCCCATTAAATAAACACATTTTAAATAAATATATTTCACACACGTATTCTTGAATACATTGGTCCAATCCCCACTTGTGGTTTAATAATTTATTGAGAATATTATTCTGTCAATATTTAATTAACATACACTCAATATCCTATTGGATACATTAAAATATATCCATAATTATATCAATCTTTGCACATATCAATCTAAATTTAGCACTTAATATAATTTTATCCCTTTAAATATACACTATACTTTATGCACTTTAAGTACAAAAAGTCACTTGGCATAGATATACACTGAGAATATCATATTAAGCTTTTGTATATATGTAAATATAATGGACTAATTATAATTATCCTATGTCCCCTCTTCTCCCTCTCTTTTTATATTATTTTCTCTTTTTTCTCCTGCCTATTATTCATTTATTTATGCATATAATCCCTTCCATTGCTGTGCTGTGTTGGAGGGGGGAGGAGCTTGCGAGCACATCGGCACGCCCGAAGGGTGGGACAAGAAGATGTGCTCACACACAACCCTCTTATGGATGAATCTCCTCCTATGGATCAAAGTCCCTTCCCTCCGGCCCGCACGCAGGAGAGGCGTGTAGCAGGGTCGGAGGATCTGGGAGTCTCCTCGAGGCAGCGGCTAGATTTCCACCAACCGCCCCGGTGGGCCCCCAGTACTTCCACCAACCACCATTGTCCACCAATGAAAATGTCAGTAAATAAAGGCGCCGAAAATTCGGCCAATTAAAGGTATACACACAAATTATCCCACATAAGAAATATATATACACACCACTGTGATTGGATAAACTGCATTCAGATCATTAAAGGGGAAGGCCTAAAGAACACTTATAATGGAGAGGACCATCATTAAAGCTGACTGAGGAAGCTCTATTGAGAGTGAAATGCATATTGGCCATTTTAAAGGACTTTTACTAAGGACTTTTTTACCATTTATTTTTTATTATTATTGTATATCAATAAATCTCTTATTTTACTCAAGATATCCTGCTCAAGTCCCTTTTGGAGCCTCCAGGAATCTTCATATGGGCAGTGCCATCCCTATTTAAACTGGCACCACATCTATACACCTTAGAGCCAGTCCCATAGGCTCAGGACCAGGTGAGCACCACATTTATTATTTTACATCCGTGTTTTTATCGCTACAGTCTACACATTGGTTCGTTCTCCTTTTATGTCTTATTTATGAGAACTACTCCAAGCTGAAGCGGAAGGGTGGTGCTACCAAAAAAAAAAGCACACATGCCTTAATACGGAGCCAGTTTTTTTATATACAGGCTCCTTAAAATGCATGTACTTCATATTGTACTATTGGATTAAGTCATGCTTGGTAAGCTTTATATTTGTTTGAGCGCTCCACTTATAGGTCTTTGTCGCTTATACTGCACTGTATTTTATATGTTTGGCTATTTCAGCTGTAGGAAAGAGCTCCTTAGTGGGTACTGGGAACTGCCTCGAAGCAGTTCAAGGGAGTTAATTGTTTATCTAGCATTAAGATTTATTCATATAATCTATCTAATTTTATTAGGAGTCCTAGGCAGAGTACATATTGACGTTTCGCTCATCTAACTTAGCACTGCCATATCGTTACTCCTTTTTCTAAGTATCCATCTAATTATGCTATTATGGCTCAAGTGGTTTATTTAACCTGTAAATCTTTTATATAACTGCATCTACACTTACTCCCTTCCTACTACCACATGAGTAAATTGATTACTTAATTTCAACCTCTCCTAAGCAAGACCTCTTAAATACTACTTGATATATTGTGGCAATGTTGCCTAGACACAGACTGTCCATTTTTCTGACACTCCTCTTCTATGTGATTTAAATGTATTAACTAGTTTTTTACTGACCTTATATGTAACAGTGGTTAATCCGCTTTTTTCAGTCGAATAATTTCTTTTGTTACAATATTTTCAGCCCACTAGCCACACTAGTTTGTTCACGTTTGCAGACACGTTTTTTCCTTTTTACTCTTAGCTAATAAAGTTCTATGTTTTTATCCTAATGAAGTGGCTTCTACCCATTTATAGTAATCTCGTAGTGAAACTTCCACTCTGCTTGGTTTCTCGAACTATTTTTTGCTTCCATATTGATCAGCAGGGCCAGACTGGGGATACAAAGCAGCCCTAAAAAAAAATGTATGCCAGCCCCATAAGTCATTGCGCCATATATTGTTGCATGTTATATGTAAGGCTATGTCTTGCCACACCAGATTATTGAGTAATATATATGTGTGTGTGTGTATATATATATATATATATATATATCTTTTTCTAATATAAAACGTAAAACGTTTAATTATACAGTAAACATACTCACATGCAGACACAGACAATCTCACTGACACACACCAGCTCATTAATACACAGCCTCATAGACAAACAAACTAACAATTTCACTGATATACATAAGCTCATTGACATAAAAACAAAAGCTCACTCACTAGCAGGCACACACACACACATGCAAGCAAATGTTTAATTATACAGTAAGCATACTCACATGCAGACACAGACAATCTCACTGACACACACAAGGTCATTGATACACAGCCTCATAGACAAACAAACAAACAAACAATCTCACTGATATACATAAGCTCAATGACATAAAAACACAAGCTCACTCACTAGCAAGCACACACACACATGCAAGCAAGCAAGCTCACTCACTAGCAGGCGCACACACACACAGCTTAATGTAGTGGTACTGGTGTCTATAGCCTGTCTTGCAGGCTTTTCAATGTAAACACTGACTTTTCAGAGAAAAGGCAGTGTTTACATTGCTTCAAAGTGACACCTCTAGTGACAGTCACTCAGACAGTCACTAGAGGTTCTTCCTGTGTTTCTACATTCAGGACCTCCACGCTCTGGAGGCGCTGAACATTCCCCATAGAGATACATTGATCCAATGCATCTCTATAAGGAGATGCTGATTGGTGTAGCTTTTTGCAGCCTATCCTATGGCAAAGCATTGGATTAGCTGAGATCATCAAGCTTGAAGATCTCAGCCATAGAGGCAGGGCCAGTCGAGGGGAGACCAGCACGGTGGGGGGAAAAAAGGTGAGTAAAAACACAATTTTTAAACACACACATACACCATGACAGACAGAGAAACACACATATACCATGACAGACACACACCCCATTACAGACACACACACACCATGACACACACACCATGACATACACACACTCCATGACAGACACACACATATCATGACAAAGACAGACACACACACACATACACCATAACAGACAGACAGACAAACTCACACTGACACACATTACTACTACCTGTGGGCAGACAGCTGTCTGTGATGGTGGCCGCAGGGGGAGGTGTGGCGGCGGCTGCTGGGGGAACTGTGATGACGGCTGCCCTGGGAGCTGTGCTGTCTCTGCTCCCCCGTCCTCGCTAGTTAATATATTCTGTCCGCGGTCTCATAAAAGTTGCGCGCTGGGGAGCAGAGACAGCACGTTTGCCCAGCCCCAGGTGTCGATGGCCCACCGGGAAATTTCCCGGTATTCTGGTGGGCCAGTCTGGCCCTGTTGATTAGTAAGGGTTACCCCCTGTTTGAGATTACTTCAGTAACCATAAGTTAAATAAATAAGAAAACATCAAAACATAAGAAGAATTTGGCAGTCACTGGTGGCGTTATCCTGTCTGTCATTGCCTCACCTGTTGTGGCTGCAGTTAGTGTGGGAATCGGAGTTCCCATCATGCTTGCATACGTGTATGGTGTGGTGCCAATTTCTCTGTGCCGCGGTGGAGGGTGTGGTGTAACCACAGCAAATGGCAAAGGGGTGAAGATTGACTTTGAAGAAGATGGACCAATTACAGTGGCAGATGCATGGAGAGCGTTAAAGAACCCAAGTATCGGGGTGAGCAGCATGGAAGGTTTGACAAGTGTACTGAGCACTAGTGGGAGTCCAACAGATGGGCTGAGCGTCCTTCAAGGAAATTACAGTGAGACGGCCAGTTTTGCAGCCCTCTCTGGTGGTAGCCTAACTGGGGGCATGTTGAGTGGAGGAAGAGCCAAGTATTGCAGGCTTGAGGTACAGGCAGATGTGCAGAAAGAGACCTGCCAGAAAGACTCTGTTAGTCTGGGTGCTGTGAGCGATAGCGCTAGTACCAGAGCAATGGCTGGTTCCATCATCAGCTCATACAACCCACAAGAGAGGGAGGCTAATAACCTGGAGATCCAGGTTCATATAGAAGCAAAACCTTCCAGATACCAGCTGATGAGTGAGAGCAGTACAGAGGAATCCATTCATGTTGCAGCACCTCTTGTGGAAGGTGAGGATGATGACGGTTGCAGAGACCAGGTTCCTCCTCGTGACATCACACTGGCACAGCCTGAGAGCATCCGCAGCAACTTGGAGAGTTCAGATGCGCAGTCTGATGATGTGCCTGACCTGGCGTCAGAGGAATATGATTCCCCTCACCTTCTACCACCCTCTCCACCAGATCCTCATCGTGAAAGCCCCCCGCCTCGCATGTGTGCACAGCAGGAAGGTCTTTGTGCCCGGGAGGAGGGGCTCTCCAAAGTGGAGTTTATAGAGGTGCGAGTGTAAAATCACACCAGCAGCACCACCTCTATAATTTTATTATTAATTATCATATGCAGTAGTCACTCTCTTATTTATTCATTTGACTGAAGGGGTTAATAACGAGTTTGTTTTCCTGGCATTATAGTTTCCATTTAACATAGAGATTTGGAAAAAAATATGTAAAAAATTGCTTCCTCCTACGAGGGAAAAAATGTTTTTAGTTTGCTTGCATCATATGTTGCAAGTACAACTGTGTTTAATGTTATCAGTGGTTAGCACTTTTCTCAAACAGGTGCAAACAAATAAAAACATTAAGTGCATTTTAGCTTGGTAAAATAAGAGAACTGTGAGCAGTTAATACGGTCTAAATTGTTAGGAGCTAAGCAAAGAGCATTGTGGGATTTTTGCCTTGTGTCTATAGGCACTGGAATAGTAAGCTATTGCATGCTAAGTCAATTTCAATGTCAGGGATTCAGTACTTTTTTATTCTTAATGTTGATTACAGTATCCATCATAAACTGAACAAGTGATGAACATTTAACAAGTGTAATAAATTATCGGTTTCTATTTCAAGTTTGTTTAAAACATCACACAAATGAGAAACAACAAAATAAAGCCATAATTTTAAAATAGTATGCAGACATTTTAACTCAAATTTAAAGAAATTAAAGTAGCTGAAAATGTTTATATCAGCCTACAATTAATAAATTCCATTGACTGCAGAAAATCATACTGTAAAAAGTACAAATTCTTAAAGGGACACAACAAAATATCATAACTACCTCGTCAGTGAGGGACAAGGACTTCCTCCCCTCATTCTGTTTATTATAACCTCAACAATTTGTCAATATTGCAGCAACTATATGCCCAGCCACATTATACTCTGTTCTGGAGTCATAAAAGGATGTGTTTTCTCCTACCCATAAAATATGTTGCAGTATCCTCACTCCTAACTTATGTGGACTTTCTCTCTGCTTTTCTCATACTCCTGTTCCTTACTGTGTACTCATGTACACACAAGTTTAAGAAAAGTTTAAGAGTATATGAAATGACATGTATACTTTGTATGTACTTTGATTAGGAAAATGTCAAAATAATTTAATGTTACAAAATAAAATCTTTCTTCCACCTGTTCCAAATATAGAAAGCAAAGCAGATGGCATGATAACAGGGGAGAATATGAACACTCTCTCACTGACGGTTCTCCTGCTTTCTGTCTGTATGTGTGCATAGCTGTCTGTGTGTGTGTGTGTGTGTGTGTGTGTGTGTGTGTGTGTGTGCGTGGGTGTTTGTTTGTATGGCTGTGTGTATTGCAGTCTGTGTGTGTGTATGGCTGTCTGTGTGTGTGTGTATGGCTGTCTGTGTGTATGTGTGTGTGTATGGCTGTCTGTGTGTGTGTATATGCTGTCTGTGTGTATGGCTGTGTGTGTGTGTGCGTGTGTATGACTGTGTGCATGGCTGTCTGTGTGTGTGTGTGTGTGTGTGTGTGTGTGTATGGCTGTCTGTGTGTATGGCTGTCTGTTTGTATGGCTGTAGGTGTGTGTGTGTGTGTCTCTCTGTCAGTGTGTGTGTGTGTGTGTGTCTCTGTCAGTGAGTCTGTGTGTGTTTGTGTATGTCAGTGTGTGTCTGTGAGGGAGCCTGTGTGTCTCAGTAATTGTGTTTGTCTGTGAGGGAGCCTGTTTGTCAGTTAGTGTGTGCCTGTCAGTGTCTGTGAGTGCATGTGTGTGTTGGAGTGATTCTGTGTGTATGTCAGTGTGTGTATGTCTGTCAGTGAGTGTGTCTCAGTGAGTGTGAGTGAGAACAGGGGCAGGGGTTTAGTAGACGGGGGACTGGGATTTAGTAGACAAGGGGGGACTAAGATTTAGTAGACGAGGGGGGATTGGGATTTAGTAGACAACGGGGGACTAGGGTTTAGTAGAGGGGGACACTGTTTTGCTTTAATACTGTACTTTTCAAAATAAACCTACGTTTCTATGAAAATTTACATTTGTGTGTTTTTGCGGCCCACATAAACTTAAACCTTGCTTATTTGGCCCTTGCTAGCCTTTGAGTTTGACATGCTTGCAGTCAGGGCCGGCCTTAGTCCTTTAGGCGCCCTGTGCGAAAAATATTCACAGCGCCCACCCACCCCCCCCCCATCATCCATGTATTATGTAATGTAAAAACCAAAGAAAAACAAGTACCTGCGCTCTCTCCTTAATCCCTATGTATTTTTAAAACAAATGGAGGTTTATTTAGTTACCTCCAATGGCCATGAGAGGATAAGCCCACCTGCCAACGTCAAGGCAGACCCCCCCAGGTGGATCCTAACCCTAACCATTCACCTTGCTTCCTTGAGCTTCTGGCAAAGATCTCTAATGAGACAGAAAATTATTAACCCTTAATAGGAAACACATGGGATGGGCGGCTGCATTGTAACAAGGCTGAGTGATACAAAAAATGTATACAAATGCAGAAAGATAAGTCCTGCACTCACTCCCATCACTGGGCGGCAGCAATGACCACAGTACACATTAGCCCCAATATATAGGTAAAAAACAAAGAAAAACAATGCAGCTGCCCATCCTATGCAGGACTTATCTTTCTGCATTTATATCCATTTTTTGTATCACTCAGCCTACCCCTTTCTGTCTCATTAGAGATTTTTGCCAGAAACTCAAGGAAGTAGGTGAATGGCTAGAGTTAGGACCCACCTGGGGGGGATCTGCCTTGACAATGGCCATTGGAGGTAACTAAAAAAAACTCCATTTGTTTTAAAAATACATAGGGATTAAGGAGAGAGCGCAGGAAACTTGTTTCTCTTTGGTTTTTACTATATATTGGGGCTGATGTGTACTGTAGTCATTGCTGCCGCCCAGTGATGGGAGTGAGCGCAGGACTTATCTTTCTGCATATGTATTATGCAATGTTTGTGTTGTCTGTGTATGTGATAGATGTGATGACTGTGTGTGATATTTGTAATGGGTGTATTAACAGTGTGTGATATGCGTGGTATTGGTTGTATGTGATATTTGTGCTGGGTTTATTTGCTGTGTGTGATGGTTATTTAATTCAGATAAAAACATGCATTGAGGGCCTGTGTGTGAATGCAGGTGTATATTTTTGCAAAGTTATGTGCACACATTCCCACAGTCAGATGCACACAGTTATACATATACACTGTCAAATCCACCACATGCACATAATCGCAGGCAGATAGTCACATACACAGGATCAAACAGAAACACACAGGTAAAGGCAGTAACACACATACACAGTTACAGGTAGATAAACACACTCACACACAATTACAGGCAGACAAGCACACACACAAACACAGCCACACACACAGTCTTACACACACATACTTACATGCAGACAGTCACACACACACAGCCACACACACACACACACACACACACAGGCAGCCACATAAATACACACACAGGCAGACAGCCACACACACACGCAGGCAGGCATACATCCACACACACAGGAAGACATTCACACACACATTGGCAGGCAGTCACACACACACACAGGCATACAGCCACACAAACACACACTTGCAGACAGTCACACAAACACACACAGGCAGTCACGTGCACACACACAGGCAGACAGTCACGTGCACACAAACACAGGAAGACAGTCATACACACAGACACACAGTCACACACACACAAACACAGGCAGACAGTCATACACACAGATACACACAAACACACACACAAACACACACAGGCAGACAGTCACACACACACAGGCAGACAGTCATACACACACACAGACACACACACAGTCAGACAGTCATACACACACACACACACACACACATGGGCAGACAGTCATAAACACATACAGGCAGACAGACACACACACAGGCAGACAGTCATACACACACACAGACACACACACAGGCAGACAGTCATAAACACACATAGGCAGACAGTCATAAACACACACACAGGCAGACAGCCATACACACACACAGACACACACACAGGTAGACAGTCACACACAGACACACACACACACAGGCAGACAGTCACACACACACACAGGCAGAAAGGCATACACACAGACACACACACAGGCAGACACAGACACACAGGCAGGCAGACAGCCATACACACACACACAGACACACACACAGGCAGACAGTCATACACACAGACACACAGACAGTAACACACACACACAAACACATGCAGACAGTCATACACACAGACACACACAGACTTCCTGTGTGTGTGAATGGCCGCCTGCCTTTGTGTGTGTGTGTGGCTGTATGCCTGCGTGTGTGTGGCTGTCTGCCTGCCTGTGTGTGTATGTATGTGGCTGCATATGTGTGTGTAAGACTGTATGTGTGGCTGTGTGTGTGGCTGTGTGTGTGGCTGTCTGCCTGTAATTGTGTGTGAGTGTGTTTATCTACCTGTAACTGTGTATGTGTGTTACTGCCTTTACCTGTGTGTTTCTGCCTGATCCTGTGTATGTGACTATCTGCCTGCGACTATGTGCATGTGGTGGATTTGACAGTGTATATGTATAACTGTGTGCATCTGACTGTGGGAATGTGTGCACATAACTCTGCAAAAATATACACCTGCATTCACACACAGGCCTAAATGCATGTTTTTATCTGAATTAAATAACCATCATACACAGCAAATAAACCCAGCACAAATATCACATACAACCTCCCCTGCAGCACTTACAGCTCCACCCCGCCGCACGGGAAGCCCCGTCCCCGCCGCATGGGAAGCCCTTTCCCCGCCGCACGGGAAACCCCGCCCCGCCATGATTTTTTTTTTTAAATCGTGGCCGGCTGTGCGGCCGCATGGCGCCCCCTGCTCCACGGCGCCCTGTGCGGTCGCACAGCTCGCTCACCCCTAAGCCCGGCCGTGCTTGTAGTACAGGAACACACAAAAAGCAGCCTGGAGTCCCTGTACCTCCTCCCTCATAAGCTAAAATAGAAGCGGGAGGATAGGAAGGGATATAACAAGTGGTGTGTGTGTGTGTGTGTGTGTGTGTCTATGAATGACTGAAGGTGTGTGATAATGTGTGTATGTATATCTGTCTGTGTA